GGAGGCAGAAATTATTTCAAAAATGAAGGAATTACTTGGAAACAAAGTGGATCACCTTTTATAAGCAAGCCCTAGCATTTTGTTATGCATGAAAAAATTGAGGTGAAGTGTCTTCAAAAATATTGCTTTTTCTTTGAAAAGGCATTTTCAGCTTAGATATCAAAAACAAAGGAAGGCAGAAGACTTTGTATTAACCCTCTGAAAAAATAAACATATGAATCAAGCCTTCATAGCCAGCCATACTTTTTGTAGGTCTTTATATAACAAACTTGTTTACAATATCGTGCAAAGCTGCAGGGGATTGAGGCAATTCAGAAATTGCCTAGATCTTAGACTTCTAAATCCAAACTCATTCTATAATTAAATAGGGTATAGATAGCATAGTAACCCACTGTCAGAACAGTTTCCTACTATTTTCTTTAAATCACCTCTAATTAACAGAAAACTCAACTATAATAAATTTTCATGGTCTTGACAAAAAAGTCTAACAAGGTATTTGTAATGAGGGCACATTCCTCTGACTAACAGCAGATGGAATCTGTAACTCTGAAGTTATGTCAAAAATAAAATACTTTTGCAAAAAAGATTAATGCTTTGCAGGGATTGTGTCCAAAAGTAGCATAAGCATTTACAGTGAATAAGTACAGAAACCGCCTTTTAGGAAGTCCTCCGCTTTCTCAATTGAATGTATTCAGTCTGAAAAGCTTAATGAACTTGTACTTCAAAAATAACAGCACCATGACAAGTTAGTAACAAAAAAAGATTGAAAAACTATCACTTTAAAGTTATGACCATGTTATATATTTGTACTTAGTGATGCTGTATTCTCAACATTCATTTTCAATCCCTTAGCAACTACCACAGGACATGTTGCTGGGTCAAAATTCTTCAGCCTTGACCAACACTATCTCCACACGTGAATGCGGCTCACGCTTCTGCTCATTGACATTTGGTCTCTCCGTAGCAACTCTTGGTGACTCCCAGTACCCGTGATACTGTGTAAGAGCTGGAGAAAAGTTTGAAACTCATTCATAAAAGCCTCTCTGCTGTTTGTTACAGACAGCTTCTTGGCATCCTCACCTGGCTATCGAGAAGGAAGGGCTGTTATTTCATTACTCGTCAATTATAAATGCCAATGTCATTTCCCTTCGCATCAGCATTAAGAGAAGTGAAAAAGAAAACACAAAGAAAGTGAATTTTAGTTCCAGTTACCTGACTTTATCTAGGTGTTTTCCACAAACTTACTTTTTTAGTGAAAATACAAAAAAAGTTTGCTTTGGAATGGAAAAATACTTTTAGTGACTTTTGTTTACACAGCAAATATTTTCTCCTCTCCATTTTGCCCTTCTTTCACTTCTCCCCAGGTTACTGGCTTTTCAACTAAAACTCATTTCTCGAGCGTAGAAATGTAAGCAATTCTTTCCTTGGGGGAAAGAGGAGTTCATTGCCTTGACAATAATATCATCTGTTTTAAAACAACAATAAAACTATAAAGTCACTCTTAAAGCCACCTCTGTCAACACATAATTTATTGGCAGTCATTTTCAGAGAACTATTACAAACAGCTAATAGTCAGAGAGGAAAATAATCTCAAACACAAAGTACTGGGGAAAACACACCCTAATACATTAAATAATGCTTTGATAGTCATAAACATCTATCATTATGTTATGTTTCATTTACAGTAGAATAAAAGATATTGATGCGAAGTCATTTTTTCATAAAAGTGCAGAATATTCATCAAGTTAGATTTGAAAACAAATACAGAAGAGGAAAACCATGTTATCTGGAACACAACATGCACAAATATTTAAGCTTTGGGGTATAATCTGAAAAGGAATTATTTGCAGAGATTGCTGTCATTTAACAGCTGTGATTAAGACAGTCCTCCCAAATAGTGCCACTCAATGTTAACTTTCATCAGAAGAAATGCCTTGGTGATGTCAATGAGGGAGCCACTCTTGACCTGGACTGGCACAAGGTTACGCTCCAACTCATAACTACTCTGCCTACTCCATGTTCTGTGAGATATTTGTATATCCTTTCTTTGTTAAAAACAAAAACCGTACCTCAAAATAACGTGACACATTTTGCTCATCTTTGGACTTTCTTAAGGTAGTAGAAAGTTTTGTTATGATAAAAAAACCCCACATAATTCTCTATCCAAATCAGCATTCATCCTTCCAGACACAACTTCCCCATCCAATGTAAGTTATTTCTTTTTAAATCCCACGTGAATTACATTATCCTGTCTTAACATATGGTAAGAACAAATGGGAAATGTTCGTATACTAGTAGAGAGACTGAAGTCTAACTCTGTCTAGTAGAAGATTGCACCTCTACTGGCAATATGCTTACAGAATTTAGAATTTCAGATTAGATACCACTGTTTTTGTGCCAAGGACCATCTTCCTCAAACAAGGCAGATGGCACATTCAAGCAACAGGATTCAAAAGGTATTCAGTTCCCTTTACAAGGGAAGAAACAAACGATGGGAGACAACAGTTTATTTATTATTTGAACATCTGACAGGGGTAACGGGTAAAGAGTAACATTGCTCTAAGGTAAAGGCAAGCCTCGACTAATGGAAGTCTTTCACTAATATTCAATAGTTCCATTATTTCTTGGAATGTAATATTAAAGAGACTGCAAGAGATGCAATCTCACAGCACCACCAACCCCATTAGGAAGCAAGAAGAAAAAGGGGCACATTGCATGCAGAGAACTCTAGGGATAAATTTACACCATCCGTCAGGCAGTATCCCCAGTTGCTAACTATCCATTTAACAGCATGAGAAACGAGTACACAGACGATAAACCCCAAACACGTTTGTCTTGCCACAGGTATAGTAGGATGACCAAGGGTCAAAACGCTATTTAAAGCACAACCAACATCTGTTTACACCCTTCAACTGGGTTCATTTTCACATCACATTTTCCTTAAACACTCACATCAAGGGAACACAAAAACTTAGTCTATTGTGGGGGAGCACAAGTTAACTACTTGGACAAAATAAATAGGAATGACTTAACAAAGCCATGCACTGCTTCCCTGTAAGAAAAGGAGGGGTGGTGGAAATCTAAGAAGAGCATTGGATGTTCTCTGCATTTTTCTTGTTCTGTTTCACTGCTTCCACGCAGTCTACACTCTCTTGGCTCTAGGCAAAGGGGACAAACCAGGGGAAAAGTGATATGGCAAATCCATCAATTCCTGGTAACTCGGCTAACACGATTATAATAAGCCAAAACACAACTCCCTTTGCACTTGCGACAAACTTTAATGCAAGAGTGCAATAATTCTTAATGCAAAACTCCAAAGCAGAAGAGAATTGTCAATGCTATTCTTCCCAAAATTGTAAGTATGAAAGCTATAAACATCCTTATTATTAAGAGCATACAATGAATGTGCCATAGGAACCTAAACACACCTTACAGTTCAGACAAAAAAATATTGCAGATGTTTTGAAATATTGAGATCAAGGGCATGAAACAGATGTGAAGCATGAAAAACAAAGATACTCAGAAAGATTAAGTAAAAGGCAATCCAGGAGGAATGGAGAAGACATTCATGAAGACAGATAGGAGATGGAGGGAGCCAAAAACAACAGCCAAAATGGAAATCAGAAGACACAGCTGTAATTATAGTTTTGATCCACCTACTACATAAGATAGAAACATTTCATTTCCTCACTTTCCCAAGGAAATTTATGTACAGCATATTAGAGACCCACAATGATGGGTGATTTTTCCTAAGATGTGTGTACACACTCTACAGTATTCCCTAACAGGCTCAAAGGACTCTTTTGCTTATCGATTTAAAAAAGAAAAAAAAAAAAAAAAAAAAAA